AGATTTCATTGGGGGACGAAAAAGAGGGCCTGATTTTCATTGTTGCTCTTTTCAGTTCAAGTTTGCCCCCTGCGGTCGATGCCAGTCGGCCCCGCACTGTTCGGCCTGCTGCTTGCTGCCTGCTCACACTTCCCTCATCCTCGCCCTCGCTGTCCTCCTCCGCCCTCCTCTCTCTCCCTCCCTCCTCCTCATCCTCCGCGCTTCCCCTGACCTCCTTCCCACCCCCCTCCCGCACCGCACTGTCAACCTTGGCGCCCCAGCAGGAACGTTTAGTTTCACCCATGTTCTGCGAGTCGCGTGCCGGCCTCTGCTGACAGGCCTCCACCTTCATCAGCGTCGAATCCCAAATCCCCCCTCCTGCTCGTGCTGCCCGCTGCCCGCTGTTTGATCTGCTGCCGCCGCCGCGGCCACTGGCGCAGGCCGCCTGCTGGGGCCTGCTGCTGGACCTGCCGCCAGCTCCGAGGCCCGAGCTGGCGCCGGGCGCCTGCGCCGAGGCCGCCGCCGCCGCCGGAGCACCGGCGGCGGTGGCGCAGCAGCGCCTGGCCGCACCCTCGCCAGCGAGGCCAGAGGACATCCCCGTCCCGGCGAGCGACAGCGACGATGAGCTGCTCGGCGGGCAGGAGGTCAGAGGAGGAGCATAAACCGATGCCGCTGTTCGTTCTGGAGAGCCCTCGCTGCCATGGCTGGCTTCTCCTCGAGGTGTCGATACCGCTGCTTGTCCTGTAGAGCCCTCGTCGCCGCGGCCGGCTTCTCCTCGACAGTCAGAGTGCTCCCTGGGAGAGGTCTTCGGAGTAGCTAGCGGCATCGGTGTCTCTTTGCCCGCCCAGGATGGGCTGGCCGTTGCCGCGGCCAGCGAGGCGCCCTGCGCCGAGGCCTGCGTGGTGAGGGAGCAGCTGGACCTCGTGGGCGTGGCGCCCACGGGCTCCGGCAAGACGCTGGCCTACATGCTGCCTCTGCTGGCGGACGGGCTGTGCAGCGCCCCGGTGGTAGTTGCGGAGCCGGATGGCGTGTTCGAGCGCTTCCGCGCGCTGTTCCCGCAGTCGTTCCCGCTTGGCCAGGGCAAGAACTCTGAGCTGCTGAGGCGGTGCGAGAAGCTCCGCCGCTCCGACGACCAGGCTGCGTGGACGGCCGCCGTCGTGGGCGTGGCGGAGAAGGGTGCGGCCTGCAGGGACGAGGAGCGCTCCGCTGCGTGGCGGGAGCTGCAGGCGGACGTGCGGCAGATCGGGCTGCTCTGCCCGAGGTCGAGGGGAGAGACATGGGGACCATGGCCAAGATGTCTCGGGATCTTGTCGATGCCGATCTTGGTCATGGTCCGTGCTGGCCGTTGCCGATCTGCGAGTATGACCTGCGACTTGGCGCTGACCAAGATGCACGTCGATCAAGATCGACACCGACGTTCCGCGTCCGATCTTGCTCATGGTCCGCGTTCCCCTCCTCGGCGAGGGCACTCGTGCTGGCGCCCACGCGCGAGCTGGCTCAGCAGGTGGCGGAGGTGGCTGCCGCCCTGGGCTCCGCCAGCGCCGCGGTCATCGGCGGTGTGGACCACGTGCAGCAGCGCGAGCGAATCCGGGCCGCCGCCCCCGCTCTGCTGGTTGCGACGCCAGGCGCTGATGGGGGGGAGGAGGGCGAGGAAGAGGACGGGGAGAACGAGGTGGAGCGGAATGATACTGCAAGTGTTCTTAACAGTCCTTGAAGTTGGGCTCCGAGCGAATCTGCCACCGAGGGACGTGACCTCGGCTGTTTGGCGCCCTGAACCGTAATGCCACCAAGTGTGTATGAGCATCAAAGTGTCGACGAACATCTTTCGGCCAAGGAGACTAGGACACGGCGGCGGACCACCTGTGCGAGAGGGGAATCTTATTCAGATGAGTGTGGCTTATGCTCAGCGTGAGCTCTCGATGAGCGTTCAGGCACACTCCAGGCGCGCCAGCGGAGCTACGGCACGAACCCCCTACAACTTGCGAGATGACTCCCTGAGACGGGGCCCAGAACGAGGCATGAAGAGGACTGGGAGGAGGGGATGGGGACGGAGGTGACCAAACTGCTCTCTTAGACGCGGGGCGAACAGCTGAACCTGTGGCTCCCCATCGAACGAGCAACGAACGCAAAGGAAGCGGAGGATGAGGCCCAGATTGTGCCCAGGATGTCTCACCGATGCTGCAGTGCGCCCTGCCGTCTCGACAAGGGGGCCACATGCGAACCCTACCCCTACCCCCCACGAGTTCTCGAGGGGAGGGCGGGGTTCACGTCGCTCGGGAGCTCGCGAAGGAAGCGCACCCCACCCTCCCCCTCAGATATCGTGGGGGGTATGGGTATGGTTCAGGAGGGAAACAAACTCACAGACACAATTAATCGGCGATTCCCCAGAAAATATGGGAAAATATGGGAAGTGGGGGGGAAGACAGAAGCCCAGAAAATATGGGAAAATATGGGACATCTTTTTATTTGTGTGTATTTATTTATGTGTCCTGGGGCCCCTTCAATGGTGTCTGCGTGTGGTCCCCTGCTCGAGGCCCCTCCTCGTGAGCCCCTGCGGGCAAGCTCATTCCACCGCGCGAGGCGCGCCCACTCGAACGGCGACCGCGCCCCGTGGGCCCCCGCAGATCGTGCGGGGGCTCCCGTCTCGAGGAGGGGCGGCCCTCCATCCCTCAGCGAGCGAAGAACGGTATAAAATAAACTTTTTCGCCGTCGGGGACACCTGCCCCAGGGCGGCTGGAAAGTTTATACTCCTACGGTGCCACCGTTAGGGTATAAACTTTCCAGCCGCCCTGGGGAGGTGTCCCCGACGGGGAAAAAGGTTTATTTTTATAGATGCAGCAGGTGGAGTATCCTTTGAGCCGTATGAGGGCATGGAGACCTGTCCTCTGCAGGAGGAGTGCTCTTCTTTCAGGCACCGTTTTGGCCGATCGGCGCGGGCCTCCCAACGCTCCCCCCTCCCGCCGCCCTTTCGAGTGGATCTTGGCTTGTTTTTGGCGCTGTTTCGAGCGGGCGGAGTTTCCCCCAGAGGCAGCACTCCTGCAAACAGTCGCACTAAGCAGAGGTCTGGAGCCAGACCCCCCCTCCCCCCCTTCCCGCCCAATGTCTCACCGCAGGAGAGACACGCACAGGTGACGATTTTTCGTATCAGTATCGTCATGCAGCGAGCAACGAGCATTTTTGGACTATTTCTTACTTGTCTGTCGAAGCCCGCCCGTAGGAGGACAAGCCCGACCTGAAGCTATAAAGAATACGACGAGGCGGGGCCACAACAGTCGTTCAAGTCTAATGACGTGTCCAGCGACAACCCTGCTTTGAAAAGAAGCCGCCTTGCATTCGTGTGGGTTTTGCTGGTAAAACACACCGAGGATATCTGAGGATCTGCCCCCTATCTCAGGAGAGAACCGCCCTCCGTTCCCGTGCCCGTGGCGCACATTTATACGAGAGGAAGCCTCAGTCGACAGCGACATGTTGAATATGAGCCATCCCTTGTCGGTGTAGCATGTGGACTTGTTTCAAGAATTGTGAGCACGGCGCCAAGGAAAGGCACATAAAAAAGGGGCCGTTCTCTATCCGTGTAACTGTTGGGTTTTCTTAGAGTTTCAATCGCGTGAAGGATGGTGAGGGTGGTCGGGATGGACGCTGGTTGTTTGAAACGCGCGCGCGCGCACATCATTATCGTAGCACTCCGCATGAAGGATGGATCTGGGCACACGTCTCTCGCCACGCAATGATTCTTGTAGAATTTGATGCGCAACGCTTCGGGTCTGCCGCCGTTGCCACGATTGGCGACCGTGCGTAACTACCAGGGTGGGCCACAACATGAATCAACATGTAGTCTGCTAAACCATGTGTTTGTGAGGCCACCGACGGGGTAATCTAGTTGCCTTCGGCCCATCTCGCCGCTGTGCACCGGGCGTTGACCAGAGGCCTCTGGGAGGCCTCTTGGGGTCACTTAGGACCCCCAGTCGGGGCCTCTTGTGGGCCTCTTTGGAGCGTCTCGGGGCCTCTTGGAGGCCTCTTTTGGGGCCGCCTGGGCCTCTGGGGCGCGTTGGTAGCCTCTCGGGGGCCTGGAGGCGGTCTCGGGGTTTGTCTCGGGGTAGCGAGCTCCACATGTCGGCTCCTGTGCCCCACCCCCCCCAGGCTGGACCCTCCGGATCCTCGGTCACCGCGGACACCCCAGACGCCCTTGCAGAGGGCCCCCCTGGACTTCCTGGCCTTTCGGACTTCCCTGCCGCTCCTGGCCAGCGGGCCCAGCGCGGTCTGGAGGGTGGCCAAACGGCCCCGCGAGAGCCCCAGGCGGGCCCAGACACCCACCAGACGCCCGAAGGCGGCCCCAGGATGGCCCGAAGAGAGCTCCATGACGGCCCAAGGTGGCCCCAAGATGCCCCCGAAGCACTCCAAAGCGTGACTTGGTCGTTGAGGGAGACCGTGGTTCGCAGCAGGGTGGTCCGAGGGAGCAGCCCCTAAGAAGGCTTCATGACACCCCCAAGAGGCTTTCCAAGGATGGGCCTCAGCAGCACGGGCACGGTGAAGGCTTTCCAAGGAGGAGCTGTGGTGGACGGGGACGGGTTCCAAGGGTAAGGCAAGAACGAGGAAGATGAAATATGCGGGAAGGAGAAGGAACAACATAACGACGACGTCGAAAAAACAAACAGGAATTATCGCTGTTTTTGTTTATCCACCTCTGTCGCATTCAGTCCGCAGTCCGAACTTGAAGGACCAAAGTGCACGGCTCGAACCGCCGAAACAGTGATAGACAATACCGCAGGGCTCGTAAATGGGCAGCGCAGCTATTGCATATGAAAGGCGATTGTAGGTCAGAGGCCTCTTGGATGCCTGTGGGGATCTCCTGGGAGTCCTCTCAGAAGCCTCTTGGAGGCGGTTTAGGGTTGTCTTGGGGCGTCTCGGGGGCTTCTTGTGTCTTGATTTGGGCCTCTTGGCGGGGCCTCTTGGGGGCTCTTGGGGGTACCTCGGGGGCCTCTGGGGGGATCTTGGGGCCGTCTTGGGGCGGAGGGCTCGAC